CTTACACTCCATTTTCCCAACTTTGGTTTCCCCCTAAATACCTTAAAAAAAGGAAGAACAAATGCTTTTGCACTCTAAATTATACCCAAATTTGACAAGTGAGCTTTATTTTTAAAGAGCATTTTTCTTTTTTTCTATTAAATATAAAATTTTAAAAGGGTGTGTGAATTTATTAAGCTAATCTTTTATTTCAGGCTTCACTGACTGGAAAAAGGGTGCAAAAGAATTTTCATTAAAAATGGGGCACCATCTATAAGGTGATTCATATTTTACTGGGATATTCCAATAAACTCTCCAAGTTGCTGGCCACTCTTGAAATCTGCTGCATTAGGCTGCAATCACAAAGAGGGGCATGGGTCAAATACACAGTTAGAACAAATACTAAGTTCAACAAGCCAACACAGGAGTCAAGAAATTAGAAGAGCCAAGAAATACAGCTGCTGAAGGGAAGTCCAAAGACTAAGGCACTCCAGCTGCCTGAGGGGAGACAGGTATAGAGGATGCTCAGAAGCGACAGGGACCAGGCAGGGCTGCTTGCAGGCAGCCCACAAAAAGCATAGCTCACACTCCTGCAACCTGAAAGATCCAAAGCAATCTCAAGTAAGTTTTTAATATTCACTACTAATTCTGAAAAGCATTTGGCAGCACTTTGATAAGTGAATTAAGTTCTGCCTATGGCTTTATGGAAAAAATATTAAATACAAATCCTAGTAACAAGCATTTTAGAGAGATTCTGACAATTCTTAAAAAGCAGCAGGACTGGATTTTATAAACTAGTCCATTTGGAAATTCAAGCTGAAATGATCCTTTTAAACAACATAAAGTACTTCTGTGGCCCAGAGCCAGCTACTTCAACCTCATAAGAAATTTAAAAATAAATCAGATTTTTTCAATCAGTCGTTCTCACAGATGGAAGAAGCCATACAATAGTAGCAACAATAAATGACAGGAATCAATTCAAGAACATATATGTATAGTAAAAAGATACATAATCAGAAACATTCAAAACTTTGATTGTGTCACACAAAATGTGATCTCCAGCTCTGTAAAAACATGAACCACCCCATCATGTTGATATTACAAAGGCTTTTATATGGTAGAAGCATACAAAAGCAAACCTGCCAAGCCCCCATGCTCAGCATGAAACATGAAGTTGGCTCCTCACTGCCCGTGACAATTCCCATAGTCATCAGAAGCACATGGCAGAAGAGCCTCTGATCACTGTGTGTGGCAGGAAGCAGCCGTGGTGCTGCACGTGGAGATTACAAACCCCCCACGCCCCTGGCAGCCACAGCCTCCCTGCAGCCCCTCTGCCTTGTGTTGTCTGGGGTTTAACGCACTTCCTTTATTTTTAAACATTCGCCAAATCAGGTCAGTGTCAATCTTCCCCTCTGAACAAGAAGGAAGTTCTCCTTCAGCAAGGGCTCAAGGTCTAGATGTTCAACTTAAAAAAAAAAAAGATCCTTTCTTGAAAAACTGTGATACAGAAACTTGATCAATATTCTAATTTATAGTTTAAAAAAAAAGGTGAAAAGCTTCTGAGAACTAAATAACACATAAGAGAGGTCCATGAGGTTCTTTCAATAGCACAGTTTTTTCAGATCTTTTACACTGCAACAACATGCCACCACCAAGTTACATGCATAAATATTGGCTAATGCAAATTCACTGTAAGTGGTAAAAACAAGAATTGCACCACACCTGTTTTGTCAACCTCTCACTGCCCCAACCTATTTGAATTACATAATAGATTGTAATTATGATGGGGACAATTGAAACTCAACAAATCTACCAAGTTAACATAGCTGACAACATAACCAAATTATGAAGTTGACAGCATAATCAGATGTTGATATTACTCCTGTCAAAATTTGTTATTACTGATCATCAACACAAATTTCTGTGATGCTGAAGTTTGTAAAGCTCCTTGTCTGTTTTTGTAACATCCATGAGATCATGGGACTAACCCACATGCCAAGGAGAGACAGCAGAAGTTGCTTGGAATGTTTTCTCAAACCTGTTTGAAAGAGGAAAAAAATGTCAGTTTTCTGACAATAGGCAGCTCTTGTCTAGCCCTCCAGGAATATCACTTGCTCAAGAGCATCTGTCTCCTGCCTGCAGTAGAGAAGGGGGTCCTGAGTACAGTGGACTTAACCCTATTCAAACCTTGATCACCCCAAAAGGCATAGAAACAGAGAATCACTAAGGTTGGAAAAGATCTTCAGGTCATTGAGTCCAACCTTTGACCAAACATCCCTGTGTCCATTAAACACCATGGCCAGCTGTTTCTTTAACACTTCCAAGGATGGTGACTCCACCACCTCCCTGGGCAGCCCATTCCAGTATTTAAGTACCCTTCCAGTGATGAAATTCTCCCTGACATCCAACCTGAACCTCTCCAGGTGCTGCTTGAGGCCATTTCCTCCCATCCCGTGTCTCCTCTTACTGGAAGAAGAGACCAACTCCCACCTGGCTACAACCTTCCAACATGCAGAGAGTGACAGAGTCTCCCTTGAGCCTCCTCCAGCCTTAATGACCCCAGTCTTTCAGCCACTCCCTATAGGATTTATTCTCTAAAGCTTCAGCAGTTTCAGACACTTTTGAAAGAAGAATGACTTCCATCTTTAAAATCTATTTTATATATTTACAGACAATAGATATTAACTGCCAGAATTTAATACTATATAGAATAAGATACAGCACTAAGTATCACTACCCATATGTGCTTAATGTTTTTACATTACTCATGGAACTAGGAGTGTCATTAGTCCATTTTGTCTAATCTGACAATAAGGTGATGTCACCTGTCTGAAGAATGTGAAGATCTCCGGAGTGGAATCTGACAATACCTGAGCAAGTACCAGTGAAACAGAAAACATGTCAAGCCTCTAATGCTACTCCACATAGCACAACATTTATTTCTTCAATCATTTCAGCAGGTCCAGAAGCCAGGCTCTAGTTTTGACAATTTGAAAAGCACTGACTGATGAAAAAATTCAAAACTTACCATGATTCCTTAGGACAGAATAGCTTTTTTTTTTAAAGAAACCCAACTAATAGGCTCTTTAAATTTCAAGATCATATTTTCCCACCCCTCACAGATGGAAGATCAGTCAAGACAATCAAAGTAATGAGAACAGCTACCTCATTAAAAAAAAAAAAAAAAATCTCATTTGCTGCAGAAACTGTAAAAAAAGCTGGAGACTGCAAGAGAAAAAGATTCTCTCACTGTTGAGGCCCTTACATGCTGCAGTGCAGAATCTATCTGCAGCCTGGGCTTCACCACAGAGCTGCTAGAAATGCTTGGCAAGTTGCTTAAATCACTCACTACTAGCACACAACTTTCCTGGGAGCTTGAGTGGAGAACTGCAGGCTGGAGCTGATAAAGTTGCTACTCAAGATGACAGTTCTGCTGTGAGCTCACCCTGCATCATTCGGAGGGTGGATGCACCAGACCCCAGGACTCAGCCCAGGCATTAACATAGCTGAAAACCCCTCTCTGTGCTGGTTTCCCCTAATGTCAGGAAAATGCTCTTTTATTTCTATAATGGAAGTGGTGCAAAGATTTCTTAAATTTCTTTTACTATTGTTGAAGCACATATTACCCATGCTATGCACAAAGTGTGGTGAGAAAAAACCAAAAGTTACTCTTGATTATGCCTACTAACAGACCCAGCTAAGGTTGTATTGCATTTCCTGGTTTTCACATCATTAACTTTGCAAGTCTTCAACTCTTTGCTTGAGGTTTAAAAATATTGGTATTCTTCTCTGATTAACAAGAGACCAAGATAAGCATCAAACATGGTATTGACTATGCAGAGACCCCACAATCTACCAAACAAGCATATGTCTGGCATACACTGCACCTGCATTGCAGACAACAGACTGCAGAAGCAGACCAAGGCTGAATCTTGTCCATAACTTTGGATGCAGATTCCTAAGGGGTTTTCTTAATTGTAACATATTAAATAATCTCATTTGAACAAAAAGATTAAATGTACCTAGGCACACACAGGCATTTGCAATTTCAAGTCAAAGATTCAGCATCCAGTTATTAGCAGGTGGCCAAAGGAAGAAAGATTATGCAATTACTTTTTTTGGTCACATGCAGTCATGCAAAGAAAGAGACTTGATACTCCTCTGCTAGCTTTTATTAGGATTTTCATTATAAAATCCCATTAGGAGGTTCTTGCAACATCTTTGAAAATCTTGCTGTTCAGGGCAGAGTAAGAACTTACTCAACCTTTTTTCCTGGCTTAGGAAAACAAGTTTCTTTTTAATCAAAATTATGACATATACAGTTGGACACTCTAAAATATAAACTAGGTGATATAAAAATCACATTAAACTTTTTCCCTCATTTTCATTTTGAAGCAGACCATACTAATATTGCCTGCCACACCACTGACTCTTAACCTAATTAATCTTTGAAATTGTATCAAATTATATTAGGACTAATGACACCTGATAGTCTACTATATCTAAATGGGATGCACTGAGAAGTGTCAAATTAAAATACAACAACAAACCCTGCTCCCATAGGTCTAGATTTCTGTGATTTACCTACACAAGTACATATAGAAAGAGAAACCATCATAATCAGCTGTGTTATAAACTCATTAGCCCTTACAAGCTCAGCAATGCTGAGAAGTGTTAAAGATCATTGGAGCACTGCCTCTGCTAGAAAAGAGCACTACGCCAGTCCCCAGTAAATAACTCAATTAGGAACTACTCAGTATGAGACCACAGTGGTTGTAGAATGGCAGCAGGTTGACAGCCATCGTGTTACAACAGCCTCATAAACCATAAATATACAATGGCTCAGAAAAAATAAACAACAAAACAAAGAAAACTTTATTTTTGAAGTCATAATATAATTCAAGTTTCATTTCAAGTTAATTTCACTTTGCTCTCCTGACCTGAATGCTGCCATTTCAGTCGCTGTTCCTCAGTGCCTGTAGTAAGCAGTTACACAGTCCTCCTTTACACACAAGCCTTACCTTAGTGTTCAGGATCACTTTCCCTGCCAGGTGCAAGTAGTAGATCCTATAACAGAGCAGACTGGCTTTGAGTCTTGCTTGCAGGAGTCCGAGACATCTCTCAGTGAGAATCAGTGTGCTCTAGGAGACAAGATTAACCTGCCTCACATGCAAAATGACTGACTGAGCTGCAGGTGTGCCCATACTTTCAGCACTGGCATATCTGCACCAAACAGTTCGCCAGGAGAAATCAGAGAGTAATGAGAAACTGCCCAGTATATTTCAGAATCACAGCATCTCACCAATACCACAACACATCATCCCATCCCACAGGTGTGAAAACTATGAACCAAGGTTCATAACTATGCAGGGCCTGCATTCTGCCACAAAGAAAGTGCATTTCATTTGTTTGTAAACTGGAACCTAATTAATGTCATTTCTGTGTTCAATGCAATCTCACAACATTTTAAAACTTGTGAAACATTTATGTTTTTATTACATATGGCTATGTAGTTGAAAAACATGTAGATATATAAAGTGATGTAAAAAGGACTTCAACTGTCTAAAGTTACTGCTTGTACTCATGTCTAGCTACTGCTCCCTCTTAAATTCCTTATTATAAATGTTTAATAACCAAAAAAAGTTGCTGCAATAAACAAAGTTTTGTTCAATAATTTTTGAGGAGTGAAGCAGTAAAAGTGTTTTCCTAACAGGTTGACTTGCTCATATTCAAACAATCATCAATAATGTAAATAGCACAGTTGTAACATGCCTCACTGTGTATTGGCATCACCTGTCATTACAAGAGCTGTCTGGTAGTTCAGCAGAAGCAAATTGTTAAGGTACCAATATTGATAAGTAACAGACTGGGGCTGCACTGATATAGTTAGATTGGTTTACAAGGCTTCTATTTTTACAAGCCTAGGAAGCTCAGGTTGTCTAATGAATTTTTAACATGTCAATTAATATGTTTATAGAAAGCAATGCCAGCTTTAGCTAATATATAAGAAGAATCACAGTTGCATGTAAAATGTACAATGTGTTAAAGCTCTAAGCTGCACATTTGAGAAATTGAAAAGAATTATTGCACATGATCTGAGGACAGCAATCACTTAGAAAGGAAAAATATGTAAGTTAATGGGCATGATTAATCACTCTGGGAAACATTAGCATAATTTCATGGAATGTGATATATTACAGGGCATCAGAAGAAAAGCTTTTATTTGTGGCAAGCCAAGTAAGACCTCACATCCTAGCACTAAAAGATACCTTATACCAGAAGAAATTACCAAGTATTTTGTTATTTTTACCAACATACTACTGATAACATAAATTAAGTAATGCTTACTTAATAATATTCAGTGTCCTCACTGAATGCAACTGTGTTAGAATACTAGCTACTCTTTGGCAGCACTTTCTCCAACAATATAGAATTACATCAAATGACTGCACAGCGCAGAGGCAATTTTTGCCATAATTACCCTGCTTGCTCCGTAAATTACTTAAAATCAGAAAATTTGTTAATGTTGTGAAAAAAACATTTTTTAAATCCTTAGGACACAAGTTTTGAAAAAGTTTTAGATGTTTTGTTTTTAAAACATTGGCCTTCGTTAAATAATGAAAACCATAAACTTCCTACTTTAAGATCATGCACGTTCTGTGAAACTGCAGTAAAAAGACATATTTTACATTTGAAAAGAACCTGTACCTTTTTCACATGTAGGCAAAATAACAATAGAAAATAGCCCTTCAATCAACATTTGAGCTGCATGTGTAGTTAGGCAAGCAGAGTATGTGGTGAAAATCTAGTAACCTGTAACAGGGGGATGTTACAGTCACATAGGAGAGTGAAGTTCCTGTAATTCTTTCAACTCTGTACATTCCATCAGCCTGAGAATAAAATATTCAAATGCATTCTGTGGATCTGGGAAAATTCCTCCTTTGTTAACTGGGGTATTATGGCATTTAACATCTGCCTCTACCTTCACTATCAGAGGTAATTGAGGTAAGAAAAGATACAACATAAGATACAATATTCCCAATTGTATCTTGATGGGTGACGTATATTAAGCACTACAATTTTCTGAATGCAATGCAAAAGTTACAGAACCAAAATATTTATCTGCTGCAAGTTGTCATTCAAGGAATTCCAAAGGGCTTAAGGCATTTTACAAAGTAAGAGCAGAATTTCAGTAAGCAAGCTATTCAGACTGCAAAGTCATATTTTCTTCCCATTAACTACAGATGACCTGAGCTTTGCAGAGTATTTCAATACACTAGAGAGCACCTTGCACTCCAGTTCATACTCTGCTACATCCCAACACAGCCTGATGAATGATTTGAGACTACCACAACTGTGCCATATGCTCATTTTGAAACTAACAGGAATGCCCCATTTCATAAATTCTCAAACTCAGAGAGCAAATATCCTCAAACCACAATCCCTTGCGATAACCTGAAGAGAAAAAACTGCAAGAGCTGTAAAACATCTGTTATGTTTTATGCAGTAATCCTCATTGCTCTTTAAAATCTTAGGACTTCTTAGAGCTAATTAACTACCAAGCCTACACTCCCCCAAAAGATTATCTTCACAAGGCCCCTTTTGCTGCTTTTATACATACTTATCCCTGAGAAACTGTACTTGAGGAGGAAGATAGCTGAGGAAATCCAAAAGATTAAAAAAAAAAAAATGCAGACAGTGAAAAAACAGTCATTTAAGAGAAATAGGTGCTGGTGTGAGTATATTGATCCCTTGTGAGAGAGTGTGCAGTGCAGAGGGAGCACAAGAGGGATGGACAGCTCCCATTAGTACAGGAAGAGGCAAGTCAGCACAGTATCTTGACACCTGCTGGGTTTTGTTAATATTTTTAGATTTAACCAAGCATCTGCTATATAATTCACTGGAAAAAAAAAATGCAAAACCTTCATAACTGAGTGAAAACGCCCTGTAAAGAGGATACTTTCCTTTCTAGTTTCTTACTACCTTGTGGATTGTTAAGCCAAACAATTGAAAAAAAAAAAAAAGTTATTAATGTGACCAGTGTCAGTTATAACTACCTACTGGTTTATCTTCTGCCTTCAGATTGCACACAAGCATATCAACACCCATCCACTGGAAAAGGTACAAAAAATCCATTTGGCAAGACCAAACACCAGAAAAAAAGTTTGCAGCTATAGAGGAATACCCTAGAAACAAAGCAGAAGAAAATCACTGTCCCTCCCCTTAAGCAGTCTACTAACCTGGTGAAAGGAGTAGCAAGATTCTAGCTACTCCTGAAAGGAGTAGCAGGATTACTTCTTTGGAAAAGGAGAAGCAGCATAGCCCATTCACAGCAGTCTAGTGTCAGCTCTGGATTACACAAAGAGACACCTTTTCCCTGTTTTCAGAACTGCAGTAACCGGGCAGAGGGTGGCTGCATCCACTGGAGAGCACAATGCTGCCACGAGAGGCAGAAGCTTCGAAGAGCACGTTCTCCCTGAATCCAGGAGCCTGGGCATCCCACCCGTATCCTGCCATTGCCTCTCGTTCCGGACCTGCAGCAGCAGTGCTTCAGCCACACCTGCGGCAATCACACAGCTGCATCCCCAGCGACTTCAGGGCTTTGCACTACTGTTTCATGTTACATTCCGTTCAGATAAGGAAACATAACAGGTTCTTGACAGCGAGATACTTCTTTTGCAGCTCATTTTTATACTTTGTACAAGGCAGCACTAAAGCAGTAGCAGAGAGTATGGAAATAAAATTATCATTTCCCTCCTCCCATAACTAGTAGTTAGCTGCAGTTAAATTGTCTTTTGAAGATTTATCGAAACTTCTGAGGGCTCCCAGTGCCACACTTCTCTAACTTTTCCATTTATAGATTTCCCATTCAAGTTTAACAGTACAGATTTAATGCCAAACTCACAACCTTTAAAACCCATGAAAAGAGTTCCCAAGTTTGAACAGAAGTCAAAAACAAGAGAAAACAAACCTAAGCCTTCACACAGGCATGAATATTCTGACAATTCTTCTGAAACAAGGGCATTTCTTGCTGTAGCTGCAGAAAATACAATCTTGCACCTAACTCTCATCTGCGTATTTGGAAACAGTGTCACCAGGACATAAACTTTAACATTTTGAGCATACCATCATCGTCCACGGGCTTGCGATGCAAAGCACTTGCACTCACCACGCGTAATTAGCTCATCAAGGATGACTCCTTCATACGGGTTAATTCCTCCTTTGCTGAAGAAATTTAACTTTCCCGAAGTCGTCGGGATATAGAAAACAAGAAAGCCGAGCTGTGCTCATGCAACTACTTCTTTTTAAAAAGTCACTCCGTGTGCCAGGAAAGCAGCGCTCGGTCCAGCCTCGGAGCCCGGGAGCGGGAGCCCCGCACCTTTCCCTCGTAACAAAAATCGTTACGCAAATCCCCGGCGCTGCCGAAGCCCCTGACCTATTTAGAGACGCGCTTTATCCTTTCCGCAAACAAGCGATGCTGCGGAGCCGCCGGTAAGCGCCCGGCCGCGCACGCCGCCCGGGCGGGAGCACACGCCGGGAGCCCCGCTACCTGCGGCTCCGGCCGCCAAACTTTGCCCGGCGGCGGCCGCGGGCGGGCCGGGGCTCCGGGCGCACCGCCGTGACACCGAGCCAGGTCCCCGCCGGGGCCCCGCGCCGCCCGCGCTCACCTCAGCAGCCGCCCGCGGGGAGGCAGCGAGCGAGGGGGCAGCGCGGCTCCGGCCGGACCGCGGCGCAACTCCGCCGGAGCCCCGCGGCTCTCCCGACGCGCCCGTTCTTCCGTAGGTTTGTCCGTCCGTCTGCCCGTGTGTCCGTCCGTGCCCGGTCCCGCCCGCGGGCTCAGGTGCGGCGGGGCCGGGGGCGGCACGCGGGCGGAG